TTCAGGTGATTATACATTAATGTAAACATACCGAATACCGTATACAGAAATACACATTCATCCATTGTCCATTTGATAATATGTTGTCTCTTCACCACAGCTTAATTCCTTTTCTTTTTAAACTTTATCCAGTGTTTTTCTTTAAGTATATGAATGTTTTTCCTCATTTTTTCTTTTTCGTTTTTATGAAGATAGCTGTTTGTGACGCATTTCCTCGACCCTTAATGTGTCAGGGCACTGAAAGCTTCCTCCCTCTCACTCTTAATGGTCAGTGTGTTTGTGTGTGCATGTGCGTGATACCACAGTTAGCCACAGTGAGTGGCAGGTAGGGTGTTTGTGAATAGAGATGCACATGCTGCAGATGTTTGTCCGTCAACCTTTAGGGGTGAGACACTTAAAATTGTGGAAAAAGTTACAGGTTCAGTTCCCTATGACAGTAAATGAAGAGATCCCTTGGATGGAGAATAAGCATTGTGACGAAATAACTCATCACAGTCGGACACTCAATTTAATGATTGATATGATGAGCATCGTTTCCTTAAAAAGCTATTTAATCAGTCTGGAAAGTTCAATGCCATATTTTGTTTTATTCCACCTTCTTCAGCTCATGAATACCTATCCAATAAATGCCTTTCAATCAGAATTTAGATGGGTACGTGAAGGCAGCAGCGTCAATGGTAAGAAACCAAAGTTATTTCCAGTTTTTAAGCACTGATTTAGAAATCAGCATTTTTTTCTATCTATTTTCTGCTGCTGCTGGTGCATAGATTGGTCTCTCTGCCTCTAATATGTTTCTTTCCTTTTGTGATGGTTGATTATCTATGCAAGATGGCAGCTCTAGACAGAAGCATTTGCTCTTTCAAAAGGACGGAAACCGAAATTTAAAGTTTGGAGTGATGAGTCGAGATTGTGGCAAAGTTTTTGACTTGCTGTGACTCTGTGAATGACCAGAAAAATAGAAAAAAAATACAGTTATACAGTAATACAATTTAAATACAGTTACTGAATCCATTACTGTGCTGTAATAAATATGACTTGCAGTGTGGTAATTCTAGAGATTGTAGTAGTTTGTGGTGGAGCTTCATTGATTTGTATTAACAGTGTTTCTACTATTTTTGAACTTCCACAGACATAAAACCGGAAATATAAGATTTATGGTAAATATATAGCTTTTAATTTAGGTGTTAGCATCTTAAGACGCAATGGGTTGATGAAGCAACATAAGCACATATTTACTTATTACTCAAAATTAAATATCAATGTTTTAAATGCCTTTTTGGTCATGATGCGTCATAGAGTCATACAGACACATACAAAAAATACATTTCAACAATTTCAGACAAATAAATGATAGCTTGGGGTTCACTGGCTGTAGAAAAACATTACCATGTGCAGGATACAGCCTTTGAAATGGTAAACCATTTTATTTCTTCCTTTTCATATGTTTTGCCCTTCTTGTCTTTGGGGCTCTTTGTAGTAAATGTCACTTTTAGATTACAACTTGTGTATGCATTTTTCTTCTGAAGTCTGACCCACTTTACTGTGAAAAGGAAGCACATAGGAAAAGACAAATCTAAGATCCTCACCTTCCGCTCCATCTCTCCGGCAGGAAGCTGTCCGGCTGCTGGAACACCTCTGGGTCACGGTGGACAAAGTGGCTGATATAGATCGCACCATAACCCTTTGGGACATGAAGCCCTGCGAGGGTGGCGTCCTACACACCCACACAGAAGGAAACATCACATTATTATATCTTATTTAAATTAATTGTCATTTACTTTTCTTTCTCTGTATTTACTCAATACATCTGGATTGAAAAGGAAAAGTAAGTGCTGGCTTGTGATGATCTCTTCAACATTACAGCAACTGCATTTTGCATTTCATCATCATGCATTTAGGGTTGTGCTAGCAATGTTCTTTGGCACTGAATGATGACTAAATATATGATGCATGCAAAATATTGTGATATCTGTAACTCTTTGCTCAAACTGAATCATGCACTTGCTAAATCCTGCTTCCCATCTACAACACCTATGTATTTTTGACAAAGGATTTTAAAGCAAGTTCAAAGCACATATGTATGTAGCAGAGGTGGGAAGTCGCGAAGTACAAATACTGTGTTACTTTACTTTACTTAACTTACTAACTAAGTAGTTTTTTAAAATATCTGTACTTCAGTATTTATTTTCGGACAACTTTTTACCTTTTTACTTGTACCCAAAACAGGCTTGTTACATGCAGGTTTAAATGTCTTTACTTCTACTGGAGTAAAGACTGTGTTTACTTTTGCCACCTCTGGTAAGTAGCGCCATTGCACCCAACCAGAACAAAAACTGATGTTCTTTAAGACAACTTTAAGGACGTACTATTAATAATACCCCTTTGAAGCTAAATGAATGGGAATTTTTCTTTAACCCTGATGTTTGGCTCAAATGATTTTTACATTTATAACGAAAATTTACCAAGTTGCTTTTTCCACTAAGCTCTGGTAAAAGGAGCCACCTTGGGGCAAAAAGACCACTTACCCAATTGTTGCCCTTTAATTCATCTTTTCACTACATCCATTAGTAGCTGCACTAATGGACTGCCAGAGAACATGATCACTGTTTCTCTTTCCTCTACCCTCTTTCTCATTTTTCTCTGCGCCTCTCTCTGCTGGAGTGGAAAATCTTTAACAAATCTCTTTCTTTCTCCCAGTTCTCACTGAGAGATGTCTCTGCCCTTGCTGAGTTCATTCTCCCTCCCTCTGTCTCTCTCTGTCTCT